TATATAGCCCTATATGAATTTTATTGACTTTTTTTTTAAACTTCTAATGTTTTTTTGGTACATGTTTAGTACAGCTAGTTGTATCAATTTAGTTATTGACTACCTTTTACAGTTGGTGTTTGAATGAATAACCTTGAATGTTTATGTGCATCTGTGATGGTTCCATACAGAAGGTACGTAATCGAACTTCGTTGAAATTGACCGAAATGTTGAGGCCATAATAATGAGCCTACCATGGAGAGATTTTTAGCTTATGACTACATTGGTAATGGCCTCAACCGTATACCTAGCTAGACAACCTATACAAAAACACGACACAGAATTTAAAGAGAAAACAAAATCATAAAAAAGAAAAAAAATCTGTAGGTACACTTTAACTTGGAACCCGAGAGTCTCTGACTTCAAATTTCATTACGACTGCTCATCTACGTCATCAAGGGCCTCTTGAAACTTGTAATAACATTTGTCGTAAAATACTCACAGGTTTAATATTACAATGAGACCTGCGTGCTATGTCATTCCAAGTCCTCGTTCAGAGCTAACCTCTTCCATCAATTTGATCTTAGAGTATAATTTTCATATAACAAGTAGTAAGTTTACGTGGCCTTTGGCGCTCAGTATTATAGCCACTGTAAACTTAACATATTTAACTTCACATATTGATACATAATCATACTTTCAAAAATTCACATAAATGAAGTTGCAAGAATTATTACAGTAAGAAGGATGGGGTATAATAATGGGCCGGTTATTTTAAAAGACCTAAAATTTAAAATATAGCCTATGCCTCTAGGCCTAATAATAATCAACAATATACTTAATACGCCAGATGAATAAATAGGAACCACGCGTGATTCAAGAACGTTCACTTAGTGATATGTTCCGTACTAGCGCGTCTTGCAACAAGTTCACTGTTATCGTCTATTAATCATTCATCACGCTGAAGTCATCTCCAAAGGATAATCGGATTGTATCCATACTCTTCTAGTGTATACGTTTAATCCGGCAAACTGTAGGCCTACAAATAATATTTGCAACATATTTTGTAAAAAGTGAAATGTGTGGCATGTGGAATCATAACTATCACACTGCATAACAGGTACCCGGTACTGTAAATGAATTATGGTCTTTGCAATATATTTGTAGCCAATAGAAACAAATTGATCACCATTAAAATAAATAGGGAATGGCCCTGCGCCTACAATACGCATCATAATAGTAGGACAATGCTCTTGCGGATAATCTGATTGTAGTAGTACGCCAGATTTCGGAGAGTCTGCACACACCCCAAAACCTCTGATTTCTGGGATTTGCGTACCATGTTGTACGAAATATTCTGGTGTTTTTTTAAAACAATTTCTGCATTATTTGAAATACTAAAAAAAAAACTGTACGGGTATATTCTGAGAAGGCAAAAGTTCCGTTTATGTAATAGTTCATTTAACAGATAGGCCTACACCCAATTTA